AGACCCCTATGGTGGTGCTGCTTTTTGTTGTTTGCGCCCAATAGGCAAATAAAGAAAGAAAATTTGGCTATTACGGCAAGGTGCTGATTGAGGTACTGTTTCTTGCGGTGGTGATGGGGGAGGTGATTGGGGAAATACTGGGCAAAAAATGTGACTTGAAATCCTGAATTGCGTTTTCAGAATGTCTGGATGGTTGTCTACCTGAGCTATAACTGTTTCCTATATTGAAGAATGGTTATTTTTTATTTTTGTGCCTGCGACGTCTTTATGCTGAACTGAAGTTTCTTTTCTTATTTGCGGGTGTCGATAGGACAGTTTAAAATATGTTTGTTGTTTTTGGGCATGTAGGATGTCTGGTGACTGTGCTTTTTTTGGGGGGGAGTTTACATGAGGGGAATGGGGATTGAGCAGCGTGGGATATATGTGGTGAGTGCCGCAGGCTTGTTGGTCCGCGATTTGGGTGCCCTCCAAAATTCATGATATTTTGGGCTCCTCAACGAACTCTTTTATTCTTTGTGGAATCATGTGGTATTACAAATGACACCCTGGACTGTTGTGTTTCGCCATCCTTTTTTTTTTTTTTTTTTACGGGATGTATGAGGGCTTTGCATGCTGCGGCGAGAACTGCATTTGTTACTGTGCCATTGGTCTCTCTTTTTTTTCTTTTTTTCTTTTTATTCTTAGCCATTTTTTACTTTTGTTGCTTATTTTATTTCTGGTCATTTTGAGACTCCTGCGTGCTCCGTGCCTCCACTTCACTCACCAAATGGAGGTGCGTGGCCATTGCTTGGGAAGGAGTCTTTTTTTTGTTCAAATTCACACAGAACCATCATTGAGCACATTTTTCTTTTTTACTTCTTTTTCTTTCTTTCAGGAGATGCTCCCTTGGCTTTGCCTCCAACGGGATATGCGCGGAGTTACACGCGCATTTTAAAAACCGAAGCCAAAAGCCTTTTTTGGAAAGGATGCTTTATCTTTCTTCTAACATTAAATTTGTTGTCCATGTTGATGCTTTTTTTTTGGGGTGGAGTTCATATTTCCTGACGATCCCGCGCATGGTTTTGGTGTTGGCCCGACCAGGGCGGAATATATCCGCTGCGTCGGGGAAAGGCTTCTGGTGGACCCAACGACACGGCGGCTGGGGGGAAATAATAACGGGACGGACGTTATCCCGTTGATGGTGGTCCCGCTGATGCTCGATCCGATGGACTTTCGGAGGATGATGTGCAAAATCAGTGTGCCAATCCGGCTGTTGGTTTTGGTGCAGAACGGGCGGGAGGCGATGCTGTCGTTGTGCCTGCAGGAACTCGAGAGGGTCTATGGGTGGTCCGGACGCCTGGTTGTGAGTCGTCACCCGGAAAACATCGGGTACAGCGCTGCGGTGAACATTGGGCTCCGAATTGCACTCTCGCTGCCGCGCGAGGAAGTGCCTTTTGTTTTTGTAACAAACAGCGACGTAAAGTTTTCACCCGATCTTCTTCCCAACCTTCTACGCGATGTGCATGAAATGACGAGGCATGATGCCGCTCGCATGGATGAGTTGGCGGCGGAGATGGCGAATGAGCCGAGCGAGTACAGTCCTGTTTTGCGACGGGGCTTGAGGGTGCTGTGCTCCACGGTGAACGATAACCGATTGCCGACGTCTGCGCTGCCGCCTGACCGCATGCATTATGCCTCTGTGAAGGAGCGTGAAAAGGCGTTTTCGAAGCATTACGGGCACTTCTGCGCGTATTACAAAGGCAGTTGTTTTACATCTGTTATGTTGACACGCTTGGCGATCAGTATGGTGGGACATTTTGACGAGAACTTCTACCCAGCTTACGTGGAGGATGTCGACTACAGCTTACGCCTCCGTTTGCTTGGATTTCAGGATCGAAATGCCTTATACGGCAAATTTGTGCATCGCGGCAGCTCGAGTATTCGTTTCTCTAATAAAATGGAGCTACCGGACGCTCTCTGGTACCGTCGTGTCAAGTCTTTGAGTGCGAACAAACCATATGTCGTGATGAAATGGAACCGTCCACGGGCGTGCAGTGGCGGGTACAAGGGGCCATATGACGGCATGGTCCCTGCAGACGTTTGGGTGAAGGATGAGTCGCGCATACAACGCATTTGGGTCCACGGGCATGATGAGATCCGAAGAGTTCCAAGTATTGACTACGACAGGACACTTTTGTACCCTTTCACGACGAAGGGAAGATGATTCGGCGACAAACACAAGTTTTATTTTTTTATTATTTTATTTTATTTTTTACTTTAATTATTAAAAGTTTTTTTTTCTTATATTTACACAAATGATATTTAAGCGAGTACGCCATGGGTTTTAAAGAGCGCAAGCATATATTTGGCATGACAGGGGGAGGGTGCAGCGTCCAAACTTGGCAGTGTTGTCGAAGGTAGGAGAGGGCGGCAGCAAGCAGTAAAAGTGAAGATGATGAATGAGGGAGGAATGGAAGGGGAGGGAAGCAGAAAACAAGCCAAAAATATTGTGAGCACAACGCTGTTTCTCACCGTGGGCGATCGACGCCGCAATTGGCTACTAAGTTACTCACTGAGGGTGACACCCGTTTCCGCTGAATATGCTGCGTGCATATCTGTCGGGCTCTTTGTTTTTTCTGTTGGTTTGTTTGTCTCCCGCACATTTATTTCTCCGTGCCGCCTGAATCACTCGTTTATTATTCCCCTCTCTGTTTTTGTGCGTGCACCGAGAGAAGGGCTCGGGGACATGAAGTGCGCTCCCCTTCTGTGACATGCCACCAAAAACAGGAGGAGGAAAAAAATAAAAGTGAAGCGGGGAGGGGAACCATCGCCACGCGTCCTTTCTCCGACAAGACTGCTCGCCACGCCACTGAGGCGCGCCGTGTGCTTCGCGAGGCCCACTGGACTCGATTGGGGAGCCGTGAATGATGGTGCGTGTGAGTGTGGCGGATGCGTCTCCCAGGCGTCCCTAGAGGACCCTCTGGCCATTGGGACTGCGTGGAATGCGGGATTCTGCGGGGATATTTGCCCGTTTTGTTTTTATTCTTTCATCCGCCCATCCCAAACCTCAACACGGCGGCTGAGCCAACGACTGCGACGGGATCCGTTGCGTATTTCTGAATCTTTTTTGCGTTGCAGCGGCAGGCCTGGTGTGTCCTGCTCGGCAGACACGGTGGACGGGAGCGGGCTGCCTTATCGGGAAAACGATGGTCACGGCGGAGCGTGTTGCGTAAGTCGCAATTTGGCGCGTTTGTGGCGATCCTTGCAGATGATGTGACGGCGCCTCTTTTACTTGCGGGGAGAGGCGATGCTCCACGGTGATGCGCACGTTGCGTGTGGAGGCTTCTCTTGCTGTTGGTTTGTGAATGTTTTTTTCTTTCGCTTTTGCTGAAACACCACAGAGGGCGGTGTCTGCGGACAGCAGAGCATTGCGAGGAGGGGCATCGCACGATTTTTGGCGCGATGAGGCGGCTTTTGTGAATCTACGGTGTTTATTTTCAGGGTTGAGAGACTATTCTTTGTTGGAATGTATTGTGGGAGACCATCTGTGTGTTTGTTTTTCTTAATTAATTCCTTGGCATTTGGTGTCTGCCGTGAAACAGATGTTGATGGCCGTTTTATGGCGGTGAGATGCATTTTTATTTATTTAATTGGCGAGTAGGTGAATTGTGTTGCGTTCTGTTGTGCGTCTTGTTGCTGACGGCAAGTGGCCGCAGTGAGACGTTGTGAGCGCCTCCGACACGAGGTGTGATTGGGCAGTCATCTCCTCCGCTCGCCGGTACACGCTGTTGAGGCGGCGTGATGATAATGAATCGGCCTCTCAGAAAGGTAACAAGAGGGCGTTTGCTGTTCCCGCTGCGGTTCACGACTGAACTCCCAATCCGTGGGCGGGGTTGCTCTGCCTGTCGTATTTCTTTGAATTTCCATGAGTTTTGCACATGGTCATCCACACGCACATGCACGCAATCTCCCTGTTTGCCCTCCTGTGGGCGGGAGACCGGGATGCAAGGTGAAAATGTGGCCCGTGCCAGCATGTGGTAAAGTCTTTCTTGGGAGGGATTGCGACTGTGATGTACGTCCTGGCAGGCAGGAATGGGATGAGAGGGGAGCGGAGGGGCGAGTAACAACGATTCTGTGCGGGGGCAATGCGCAGTGAATAGGGCGAAGTGGTATTTATGTTGACTTTTTAAAGCATTTTTGTTTTTTTCTTTGTGGCAATGGAAAGAAACTTTGGGTGATTTTCTATGGATTATTTGCACATAATTGAGCGCGGCAACACCATTTGCGGGGAAAAAGAGTGGCATCTGCGTGATGCTTGCTTTGTGAGCGCGAGATGGTCGGGGAGGCGTTCAACGCCCCGAGAGGCCAGGAGCAAAGGGACGTGCACTGCTGCAAGCAGAGGGATGCACGCACCTGTTGGTGGCGTTGCTGTGGAGCCCTGAATGGCCTGCAGGGAAGTTTGTTTCTGCCGCCTCATTATTTTGTTGATTGTTGCTTGCCGCGACCTTTTGAGACGGGGTGTGGGATGGACCGAGAGAGCGAGTGTCGTGTGGCGGTGCTGTGAATTGATGCTGCCCACGTTTGTGCACATATTTCCGTTTTTGTCCGCGTCCTTGCTGCGGCAGTGCACCGGAAGCGTGTGACTGATCACTGTATCACTTGCGGACTGTTTTGGCAGGACTTTGAATGGCGTCGCCGAATAATAAAACTCCGCTTGCATGTGTGTGTGTGTGTGTTGTCTTCTTCTGTGACTTACCGTGTTGTTGTTGTTTTTGTTTTCTGTGTGCGATGGTTCTCCGTGCCGTCCCTTCCGGATTGTCTTGTGTCCTGCTCTTTGCGTGGGTGCTCTGCTCTGCTCCTCACTGACCTTTCTGGTGTATTGCCGCTGTTACTGCCTTCACCACTTCTTGAACACATACACACTCTAGGAAAGCAAGCAACCAAACGCGAATCGCCACTGTGAGATTTAAAGGCACTGAAAGGACCAACAGCACACACACCGCCCACGCAAACATATTTATATGCTCTCCCGTGTTGCTGCAGTGAAGGCACCCCGCACACACAACCGTCGCCGCGTGACCGGATCCAGCGGAAGGAGGAGGGAAGGAAGAGAGAGTGAGTCGCAGAGGCCCAACATGTCGCGGCGTGTGTTTACTTCCGCGGTGCTGCTCCTCCTTTTCGTGTTGATGTGCGCCGCCGCGGGGTCTGTACAAGCCCAAAACTATGGAACAAGAGTGGACGATTCCTATGGAAGACACAGTTTGGAGCAGTCGCCAAGGGAGTATCCAGTCGCAAACACAGCGGCCGCTGGCCACATTTTCCGCAATCCCCATCTTGTGAATGTGGACGGGATGCTGCTGGCCATTGTTGGAGCCCAGTTCAATGGATCTGTGGGGAGCGGGAGTGCGTCCATGCAGTTGACGGCACGGATCAGCGTTGATGGTGGGAGGACGTGGCGGCCGTACGCGGGGCCAGAAGATCTTGACTTTTTTGCTGCACACCTTCACCAGATGTTGTTTACCACGCCTTTCAGACTCTTCGGACCGCTTTTTGCTTTTGTGGAGGGCTACGACTTACGGAACGGGGCCAGAATTCGGTTTACCGATGAGTGGGGAGGAAGTGGTGTGGAGTCTGTTATTCATTTTCTGGAGACGGGGCCTAGACGAAGCGGAGGTTTTTCGATGAATTCCGTCTCTATGAGCATTCGCCTTCCTTATCCCTATAAATCCGACGAATTGATTGGCTTCCTCAACGATGCCAGTACTCCCATCACGAAAATGACGGATGGCACGCTCGTGTTTCCCGTGCAGTTTCTGACAATGGGAGGGAACACTGCGTCCACAATCATGTACATGAATTTCACTCAACAGCGCTGGACCTTTGCAAAAAGCGCGACACATGCGGGCTGCACCAACCCCAGTATCCTTGAATGGGAGGCTGGGAAAATCATCATGATCACTTCATGTGAGTACGGTCGCAGAAGGGTGTACGAGTCGACTGACAAGGGGAACACGTGGACGGAGGCTCTGGGGACGCTCTCGCGCGTGTGGAGCAACTCATTGGCAGGTCTTGGGCTCCACATTCAGAGTGGATTCATCACTGCAACTATTGGTGGAAAGAAGGTGATCCTCCTCACCCAGCTGGAATATTTCGGGGACAAAGAAAGGAGCGAGATTCACCTGTGGCTAACGGACACGAACCGCATTTACCACGTTGGCCTGTTACCCACTGGGTATGGCGCGACCTCCAGCTCTCTTTTTTACGCGAATGATAAGCTGTATTGTTTGTACGAGGCCGGTGTTGGAAGCAGCTCCGGAGCCTTCTTCCTGGATCTGGCTTCCGAGCTGCACTGGATAAGGCATGCGCTGGATACTTGGGCCGCGAAGGACAATGCCTTGAGACAATGCAGCTCAATTGCCTCAGGCGCCGCGCTGTCAAGAGGGAACTGTTCTGTTCCTATCCCCACGACTGGGCTTGTGGGCCATTTGGCCGATAGGCTCCGTGGGGACAAGTGGGAGGACGAGTACCTTGGGGTGAATGCCGTTGTGAGGGGTGCGGCGAAAAAGGCTCCCAGTGGGTGGACGTTTGAAGGGCAAGGCGCGGGGGCCGAGTGGCCCGTGGACAAGCAGTGGCCGACCAGACCGTTCCACTTTGCAAACTATGGGTTTACTCTTGCGGCAACGGTGTCGATTCACGAGGTGCCGAAGGGCATCACTCCCCTGATGGGCCTGAAGAAAATGGGGAAGACAACACTCCTGGGACTGTCGTACGATAATAATATGGAGTGGAGCGTGGTGCACGGGCCGTACCAGAGTTATTTTGCTAAATGGGAGCTGGACAAGACGTATCACGTGGTGCTCAAAATGCATGACGGTGTGGGCTCCGTGTACGTTGACGGGACTCCCCTTTGGAATATGAGGCTGAGAAATTCGTTCAATGAAGGGCTGGACGCGGTCTCACACTTTTACTTTGGCGCGTACGATGAGCAGTTGAGCAGCGGGAAAATCCATGCGACGGTGGCGAACGTCTTTCTGTACAACCGCCCGTTGAATGAAACTGAGATTGGCGCCCTCAACGCGAATAAAGTCACCATTCCACCTCCGGAAAGGAAGTCGGCGAAAGCGGCGGCAGCTACTTCCCCGCCCGTTGAACCCGTAACCACTTCGGTTGCCACGGAGGCGCAGGCAACTGCGCCAGCGTCTACTACTGCCGCGTCGACAACTACTTCCCCGTCCGTTGAACCCGTAACCACTTCGGTTGCCAAAAATACGCAGGCAACTGTTCCAGCGCCCACTCCTGTCGCACCACAGCTGACGGAACAAGCAACCTCGAACGGGAGCAGTGACCCGAGCGGTGGCGATGCATCCACACCAGCGGTGCCCAATACCACGACACCCGCAGCAGGGGAGAGGAGCGCAGACCAGTCGGCATCTGTTGCATCTTCAAGTGCCGCCAACTCGGAGGATGACACTTCCTTGTCTGATGATGCACAAACGGTGGGGAAAGAAGTTGCCGATAACAAGCAGGGAGATCAACCAACCCAAGTCTCTGTGGGCGTCTCCGACGCAGCAAATCCAAAATCACATACCGCTGAAAGCAGGGGGCAAGAAGAGCCTGCAGTAGAAACTGAGGGGGGCGTGAGCTCTGATGAGAATGGGGAGACGACGGGAGGAGCTGATGGACAAGAGGAAGATATCCAGCCACAGGAAGGGGAAGCAAAGGCTGCGGCACTCGGCCTCGCACTAAAAAGCAGTCTTGGAAATTCGTCGCAGCGGGATGACAGCGTTGCTGGTACCATGCGTGAGAGCAGGGTGCTGCTGCCGCTGCTTCTTCTGCTGTTGGGACTCTGCGGGTTTGCGGCTTTGTGAGGAGTGTGCGGCCTCAGTGTGGAACAATTGCGTCCTCTTCCACACCGACACCATCCGGTAATGAATTACTCTCCGCAAAGAACAATTCTTTTTTTTCTTTTTATTCTTTTGCTTGTTGCCTTGGGGCAACCACTATGGACTTTTTTTCTTTTCTACTCTTCCCTTTTTAATTGTTTCTTGCTGCGCTCTTCCTGTGAGGGGTGCCGTGTGTTTCTCGCCCAACTGCTCCACTCGCACACCCACCGACACGCTCATGACGACGGCCCTGTGCGCCTCGCCTGCTGCACGCATGAGGAGGGGCCGCAACGAACGGCGCGCTGAGGGAGCCGTGACGTGTGGGCGTGCGACGAGGGCCTGTGGGGCGGAGCACACATTTCTTTCCCTCTTGTTTTGTTTTTTTGCGGCCAGGGCTGACAGACACCCGCAGCGCCACACACACAGCCACACCCTGCCGCTTTAAAAAAAGTAATTTTACTTGCTCTCTTTGACTTTTTTTTCTTGTTTTGCGTGTTTTTTTTTTTTTTTGCGCTGGCGCGCCCTTCGGAGTCGGCCTCGTGAGCATTTCTCTCCCCTCTGATTATTTTTCTTTTTTTTTTTCTGCGCTCACTCCCCCGATGGAGAGACGCGACTCCCCGTCATGTCTGCGTGCTTCTCTCAGCCCCCACACATACACACGAGTGACTGTGCTCTGCAGGCCGCACTCACGCACGCCGATGGGAGGGCTGAGGGGAGCAGCAACACGCAGATGACCCGTGAAATATAAACGATGTGCGGACACGTGGAGGGTCAGACGGTTGAAAGACACGTAAACAAATTTTTAATTTGTGGACAAAATATGCAGACAATTTTTGGAACAACATGGTAGTTAGGTTCTTTTTTTGTGTTTGTATTTTTTCTTTTTTTTTTTTTTTTTTGCGTGTGTGTGAAACAGTAATAGAGGACGACAATTTTTTTTTTTTTTTTTTTGCGTGTGTGTGGAACAGTAATAGAGGACAACCTTTTTCTTTTTTAATAATTATTTTGTGTGAGGGGGGTTAATATATGATGAAAGGGAATTGTTTTTTCTAAATTATTTTGAATAAATTTTGTATGAATTGCCGCTGTTTGGTCTGCAGTACAATATTATGAGCTTGAGCAGTCCTGCTATTTTTGCCATGCGTCTCCGCTGTATTGTTTTGTTTGTGCGTCTCTTCACATGCTCTGCTCCTTTTTTCACTTCTTTCACTTGTGTTTCTGCAGGCACACACAACCACACAAATACACAAAACGCACATTGCAGTCGTTTTGGATGCTTCCTTTTTCTCGGTGCTGGCGGTTGCGTGCAGCTGCTGCTTCCTTCTGCGGGCATGAAGCGAGGGAAGGAGGGGAAATGGAGCGCGCACCGCGAGTCACTTTTTCTGTTGGCGTGATGCACCACCTATGACCGCTTTGAGTCGGGCACCAAATACCATTGTGGGTGGAATGGCTGGAAATTTTATTGCCGCGTCACGGATGGATGAGGAATCGCTTCTGCGCGTGGCTCTTTGGGTGATTGCTTGCTTGGTGTGCGTTGTGTGCCGGCAGCGGGCTGTGGCCGTATCTCGTTGTCCGTGGGACTGAAGTGGAAGCAGTGGCGGTGTGTGCGTTTGTTGAGGCCGTCTCGCAGTTTACGCAAACGGTGAGGCACAGCTGCTGTGAAAGGCCGCATCTTGTCAGTATGGACTTATTGCCGTTGTGCGGTGTGTTTGACCATGTTTTTCGTTATGTGCATGAGAGCTGGGCGTGTTTTACCGGAGCGTTGGGTGCGACCATCTGCCATGGCGACAATTTGTATGGTTGAGCGCGCGTGTGCGGGTTAGGGTTAGGGTTAGGGTTAGGGTTAGGGTTAGGGTTAGGGTTAGGGTTAGGGTTAGGGTTAGGGTTAGGGTTAGGGTTAGGGTTAGGGTTAGGGTTAGGGTTAGGGTTAGGGTTAGGGTTAGGGTTAGGGTTAGGGTTAGGGTTAGGGTTAGGGTTAGGGTTAGGGTTAGGGTTAGGGTTAGGGTTAGGGTTAGGGTTAGGGTTAGGGTTAGGGTTAGGGTTAGGGTTAGGGTTAGGGTTAGGGTTAGGGTTAGGGTTAGGGTTAGGGTTAGGGTTAGGGTTAGGGTTAGGGTTAGGGTTAGGGTTAGGGTTAGGGTTAGGGTTAGGGTTAGGGTTAGGGTTAGGGTTAGGGTTAGGGTTAGGGTTAGGGTTAGGGTTAGGGTTAGGGTTAGGGTTAGGGTTAGGGTTAGGGTTAGGGTTAGGGTTAGGGTTAGGGTTAGGGTTAGGGTTAGGGTTAGGGTTAGGGTTAGGGTTAGGGTTAGGGTTAGGGTTAGGGTTAGGGTTAGGGTTAGGCTT